ACGTATCTACGCATACTAATGATCATTTACTTCGCACACAATCACAATGCGAAACGAACAGAAGACATAGAATTGCCTATACGCGTCCCCTTATTAAATCACCGCCTTCAATCCCCTTAAACTAACAATATCTGATCTGTGCCAGTTGTATTTTCTTTATTTTGTATCCTAATTGAATTATTTTATGAATTAATAACTAACTAATTAACTATGGTAAATTAGCCATTACTAATTAGCACCGTAAATAACCTTGCTGTTAATATGGTTGAACCTTTAGCTTTTAAACAAAAATAAAAATTGCATACAAAATAATATATTATACAGTGCAACAGAAAGACCTGACAAATGGTATAACTTTTATTCTAATCAATATATTTAAATTTTTTTCTTATATAATTTATTGACTCATACGCTAACGCTATATGTATGTATAGCATAACATTTTAGATTCTGAGCGGAGCGATGAATGTATTGGTTTTACAATGATGTATGTTTTTTTTTATATTTTTGTGTCTGTCATCACGTTTTAGGACAGTAAAAGTGCTTGGATTTTCTTCATCAGTAGCTTTTCTGGTAGGAAAGTGAATCTAGTTGGTACTTTGGGGGGTCAAAAGTATAAATTTCCCAGAAGTTTTCACAAGCGGCGGGAAAAACAACATAAAAATTAAGGAAAAACGGGAATTTTTACGCAAAATTGGTTTTCCAAAAAATCGATTTTGGTTATTGGTGTAACTCTAAAACAAATGAACGTATATACATGAAATTTTCACTGGTTGTTTATATTTGCATTTTCTATACACGATAACATTTTCAAAATATTTTGATTTATTTTGAACTGTTTAGGGACATTTTCATTTTCCATTTTTTTTTAGTTTTTTTTCTAAAAATATCAATAAAATTTTATTTGTTGGTTGCGAAAGCTTGAAAATTTAATAGAAGGCTCCTAATATGTTGTTTCAAAGGCAGATGAAAAATATTAAAAATCCTTAGTCACAATTTTGTTTTATAAGCATTTAAAGTTCAAAAATTGACAAAATATGGAAAAATCACGAAAATTAGCAAATTATTTTGAGTTAAGAATTCGTAAAAATTTTTCTTTTTAAATCTAAGATTTGAAAATGAAACACAAGATTCCTTATAAGATTATCTACCTTTATCAATAAAAAAATCTCTACCGGACAGTCAAATTAAATTTTTATGAGCGATTGAAATTCAAATTTTTACAACATTGGATTTTCACTCGATTACTCATGTAGCGATTTCCTTATTTTGTTGCAATTCAAAAACGAACAACTGTAGATACATGAAAATTTCACTGAATGTTTAAATTAGCATTTTCTATACACCATACAATTTTGAAAATATTTTGACTCTTTTTGAGCTGTTTATGGACATTTACAGCTTTCAATTTTTTTTAGTTTTTTTTCTATAAATATCAATTAAGTTTTATCTGTTGGGCAAAAAGTGTAAAAATTTAATACAAGGCTGCTGATATATTGTTACAATAGCAGTTGAAAAATATTAAAAATACATAGGCACAGTTTTTTTTTATAATCATTTAAAGATCAAATTTTGACAAAATTTATCAAAATCTCGAAAATTATCAATCATTGTAACTAATAAATTATAAAATGTTCAGTTTTTTTAGCTAAGGATTACAAATTCAACACAAAGGTTCTCATAAATAGTTCATACTATAACCAAAAAATCTAAAAAAAATATGAACACACTTATTTTTTACAGTCATTTTAAATTCAAATTTGGACGAAATTACATATTAAAAAACCTAGAATAACTATTTTAGTTATTTTGTTGTGATTGAATAATATTATTCGTGGGTACTTGAAACTTCTAAAGTGTACTATTATATATCTATGATAGTATCATGGTTTTTGTTGATGTATAACGCGTTCCCAGTGCCTAATGGATATTGTGATATGATTAATTTGGAATTTATTATAGGTCAATTTTTTGTTTAATACTATAGATATGTCTTATATGTCTTATACATAGATTGACATACCGTCTCCGCTCAGAATCGTTTTTCTTATACAATGATATTATATCGTTGAATTCAAATTTAATATCGTCCATTATACAGTGACCCACTTGTAACCTACTGAACAGCAGAGCGACACCCACTTGCCCACCTTTTTTTATTTTATTTTTTAATATTAAAAATTTTAAATCTTATTAATTTTCTTTTGAAAATTTAAAATAGCCTTTACTTAAATCTAGAGTTTAGAAAACTTGGTAAAAAACTTAATAGTAAACTATTTATCTAAGTCAAATAGTTTAATTTTATAATTTTTTTAAATGTCGGTGTTTAAGTAGGTAACTCATTAATTTGAAATATAATTACATTTTGAAAAAATATTTAGATTTTAACAAGTACCTACTTAATTATCATAAAATATTTTTTACACATTTAATTTTAAATATTTTTTTATGACCGGATCAACTTTATTTAATAAAAATAATAACATTCAAATTACTTGAAAAAAAAAATGACCTACAGATCTATAAACCAGGTTTACAAATTGGCTATTTTGAATTTTTTATTTTCATAATTAAAAAATAAAAATTTCAAAATATTGATTAGAAAAGTTATTTTATTTTTCATGTCTTCCTGTTACATCCTGTATAATATATAGTCTGAATAAAATTATAATTTACTACTTACTTACTTTTATTTTTTTATAGATACCTACTAATATAATGTAAAAATGTACTATTTCCCAATAATTGGATCAATCACTAAACATTTTATTTATTTAAAATAGTTACTTTGAATGAGGTAAGTGTTGATCACGTAATAGGTCATTTACAGTTACATAACAAAAGAAAAATATTATTATATTCAGTTAATACTCATTACATGGAATTTCAAGAGGAACAGAAAAAAGTTCAAGATATCGAGTTTTATATTAATAATATTTTAGTTAAATTGAAATTTCAAGAGGTTTTAAATTTAGTTTTAATTAACGGAAAAAATCAAGATAACATAATATAACATAATAAGAATCTACCGTACATAAATCTAATAAAGGTAAGTAATACACCCTTTATTAATAGCTCTTATTTCAAGCCTTTATTCAAATGAATGTATATGTGCATGTGTTGTCTCCATGTGACTAGTGAATATAATTTTTTTTCAAGACAATCAACTATCAGATTTAAAGGTTAGAGTATAATTTACTTATTTTTTTTATATTTCAATTTCAAAGCAACTTATAAATATTTATATAAACATTTTAATTACCTACGACCTCTTTTTATATAATGACGTTTTAAACCTTTTCACTGCTAGAATAATTATGCTCTGCAACTCGTCTGTGCTACATAAAATAAAATGTTTATTCATTTTTTTTAAATTTAAATTTTGATATCTTATCTATAATATAATCAAATTATTTAAGTTTCAAATAATGCGAGCCTGTGTTTTCTAAAATTGAAAGGTTACTAGCGAATAATAATATTATAAAATAAAGGAACATAATTAATTTTAGTTCATCTGGAGCAGTGAAAGGGTTAACAGTGAATTATTAAATCAATTTTAAAAGGTCCTAATTATGCTAATTTAAAATGGAAGAATAGCAATAAAAATAACAAAGTTTAATCATTTTGAGTAAATTTAATATTGAATGTATTTATAATAAAAATAATGACAATCTCATTGATATTTCAATACATAGTAAATATAACTAATAAAATATGGGTCAGTCTCGTTAGGTATTTGAATAAATTTATAATAAATACTATGGCCAGTCTTGCTAAATATTTGAATACATTTTTAGCACATTTAATACAAAATATAAATGTAATTAAAATAAATTTAAGAAAATAATTATTTTGTATAATTAATAGCAGAATACAATAATATGGTCTTTATTCTTCTACAAATATAATAATTGCATTAAAAACACAATAGTTAGAAAATATGTATATATTTAATTAAATCTAATTTAGATGGGTTGTATTTTTTTGAATTTTAGTTACAAATGTCAATATGATTATATGTAATTAAAAAATAACAAATAATATTAACTTATAGACATCAAACATACAACCAATTTGGGAGAATTTATAATTTTCTGAACATGAATTATTAACATCCATGACCTTAACAAAATATTGCAATTGTAATTATTGTATTAACAGTGTTTGTGTTTATTTTTATAGTGATATAAACATGAAATTTGTCCAAAAACTTATTTTTGTACTTTTATGTCTGGTCTACAATGGACAAGAAAACAAAACAAAACATAAGCTCAACTTTTCCCAACACAGAAGGTCAATCTAAAATATTTTTAAAAACAGCAATACAAGAAAAACTAGACTCTGTGTGGATCAGTCACAATGTATTTTAAATATTAGTCCTTATCTGAATAACAATTATTTAACTATTTATTTTAAACAATGAGAAATTAGTTTCCTTTTTATGCATTTTAAGTACAGCATACATGATTTTAAAATTAAATATATGACACTTTCAATACATAAAAAAAATGTTAGAAGTTAGATACATAGTAAAATGTAAGCATTATTAACAGAACAAAAAATGTAATATTTTATAAGTCAATATTGATAAAATACAGAATTGGGATTTTATGGTTTGATTTTGCTACAGTAAAATTGTGATCCATCATCAATTTCCAACTAGCAAAATCATATAATGGAATTCTTCATAGGAAAATGTATGAAAATTGTGAAAACAATTATTAGACTATTAAAATATTTAAGTATTCAATTAATACTTATTTTGTCAACACTTCTATTTCTAATTTATGGTTGTCAAAGAATCACATAATTTTGTTTAAACATAAACGTTCCTATTGTACAATTACATTGCTTCTTATATCGTATAATATTAAATAATCACATTTTTATAGCAAATAACAAAATTAACTTAATTTAAGTAAATTAACATAAAATATATAATGTAGGATTTTCAATTACATATAAACTTAATTATAATTTAGTGATAATTAACAATAAAATCACCAAGTAAAGCGATCCATTCGACCCGTATTGTCCATGGATGAAACAAAAGGACTATATAAAAATACCCTCATTATAACAAAATTAAAAACCTGGTATGCTATAAACTCAATGAACGCTGCTTTAAAAGTATGACTGTTTGTAAATTGTTTATTACTGTGTAGTCTATACATAAGATATGGTACAACAAAATAACGAGGCTCCAACAGGAATTGAGCACAAAGAATAAGAGGTGTTACTATCCAGTATGCCAATCTATAAGCAATTGAAGATTGTATCAATGTTCTATTTACTAACCATAGACCGCATGCATACAATGGTACTGGTAAATATCTCAAAAAGACTGGTTTACCAGGACTGAACAATAATCGCCATACATAAAATGTATAATGCCTGTTGTCAGCCAACAAGTACGGATGGGCAATAGTGTTAAAATACACCAACCCAGATATTATAATTAATAGAGTGACAACTAGTACTTTGGATGTGTTATTGTGAATTTCATGAAAGGCTTTGGCTAAATTGAAATGTTTGCTAACAGAATTAGAAGTTTGACTAAAATAGGCCTGAGATAACAACCATGGTAATGAAAATGCTAATACAAATACAACAAAGTAGCATAACTGCATTGGATGAAACCGAGGAATGTGTGCTCGTCGATCACCAACAACTATATCACCATTATTTAACAAAACCACAAACGAAAAAAAAGATAAAATAACTATGACATTTGGGAAGGTAACACGTAGACATTTCTGAAAAAAATCTATTAACTTCTTGGACTTATGCTTGTTTTTAATTGAACAGCAATGGTAGAACTCAATAATTGTAGCCTGAAAATAAAGATCACATTTAAAAATGATATTTTGTTGTAAATTACATTACTATAATACTTACTTGGATGTACGAACATATAGAAACACTATTTTTTATTTTAGGAAAACATTGTTCGGCGCAGTGACACACATCTATAATGGATGCAAAGACTAACCATGCGATGTTTGTTTGACGACAGAGGACAGAAAATCCGCCAAATATAATTTTGACCAAGAAATTAGTCTCATTACTCAAATGACTGGAATACCATAAGAAAACAGACGCTGTAGCCCATGCGTCTGTATAATAAAGCATTGAATATGGCGCATAAATAACAGGAAATGTTGCTACACTCAGAGCCAAGAACACACAAGACCATTTTGGAATCATTGTTTTCTTATTTTCATTCTGTAACAAACAATTAGAAAATAATAAATAATATGCTATTTATCCTCATGTTTCAGACGTAAATGTATGTATTACAATAAGTTATTTTTTATTTATTTATTTGTATAAACGCCAAACGGCTTTTTACATATTGCAATAACGATATAACATGAATTAACGTTAGTGATAAGAAAAATATACATAAATGATAATGTTAACAATATACTTAAAAATAAGAACAATAATAATTATAATAGGAAAATTACACACGTTAGGAGAATACAAAATTTAAGGCCATATATCAAAATTATTATTATTTAAATTGCGCATAGCTCTAACAAAAGGATCATTAGATAAAAAGTTTGAACGGGAAGTTGGGATGTGAAAGGAATTGGTTGATCTGGTATTGGCGGTAGGAACTCTAAAGCTAATACGCTCAAGGAGACGCGGAGCATCAATTTTACCCTGGATTAATTTTAAAAGAAAGTTACGATCCGCAATTAGTCGCCTTTCCTCGAGGGAGAGGAGATTAAGCGCGCCCATGACAGGTTGGTATGAGTGTAGGGGGTGTTCAATTTTTAATAAGAAGCCTGCATAGTTTAGGAATCAAGTCTGGACTCGTTCAATAAGTTTTATTTCCGTTTTAAGATGGGGATTCCAAATGATTGAACCATAGTTGAGAATTGAACGAAGGAGAGCAGAATAAAGGGTTATGATGCAAGGTGCTGAGTTGAAGTGTTTGGTGTGGCGGCGTATGAATCCCAGAAGACGTAAGGCCTTATAAGTGATATAATCAATATGAGGTCTGAAGGAAAGTGAGGAGGTATATATTATACCTAGATCCTTTACTTCAGATACTCGAGTTAGGGGTGAGTCATTATAAGTATATACGTAATCCACAAGAATCCGTGATCTGGAGAATGATATGATTTTACACTTATCAAAGTTTAGGGTAAGGCCAATAGCCTGACACCAGTTAATAAAATTATTGAATGATGATTGAAGGACGTCACAATCAGTACTGGAAGATATCCTGGAGAACAGCTTAGCATCCTCAGCAAAAAGAAGTAAACGGACCGACGGGACATTGCTAAATATTGAATTAACAAAAATATTAAATAGTAGTGGAGATAAATGTCCACCTTGCGGAACGCCAGAAGAAACTTTAAATTTACTTGATGAGATATTGAACAACTTAACATATTGCCATCTATCCACTAGGTATGAGCGAATCCATGATAAAAGAGGAAAACCAATTCCCAGTTTATCCAAGGTGTAGATGAGAGAGTTATGATCAACTGAATCAAATGCTTTTGAAAAGTCGGTGAAAATAGCGTCAACTTGGGAATTATCTCTAAAGGCATCACGGATAAAACAAGAAAAATCTAGTGAACTGGTTATAGTGGAACGACCAGGAAAAAAGCCATGTTGGTCTGTAGACAATGTAGAATGAAGAGGGGGTTCAATTTTTTTAAGAACTATCAGTTCAAAAAGTTTGCCAATAAAGGGAAGATTAGATATCGGTCTATAATTCATGACTAGAGTTGGATCACCAGATTTTAGGATCGGTGTAACACGACTAATTTTCCAAACAGCTGGAAAAGAGCCCTCAGTGAGAGACTTGTTGAAAATAGTACAGAGCGGGGAGCAAAGCACCTTACGATATTTAAAAAGTAAAGAAGCTGGAATATCATCAGGGCCCACTCCACGGACATTTGATAACGTCTTGAGAGCATCAGATACTCCCTCAATGGAAATAGATAAATGGTTAGGTAAGAAGGAGAACTGCTGGATTTCAATATTCATTAGAGCTAAGTTAGGGGCAGCTGAAGGTTATGAACATTAATAAAACTTTCTCGGACACCTTTCATAGTTACCTAAATTCATACCTTGCAAATTAAAAATTTAAATTGGTTAAATAATAAATCAAGTGAATCTAAATTATTAGCAATATTTACATTATTAATGTATTTAAATTAATTAAAGTTTACATACTAACCAGAAAAAGAAGTAGTTGACAACGGTAGAATGCATAATATAAGAATGCTGGAGCTCCCACCGCATTTACAGCCCTCAACGCAACCAAAGAACATGGGTCATTGCCATGAAAGACATCATGGTCCAATACACCAAATAGTGACAATATTGTGTCATAAATCTTCATAAAAGGTACTAACACAGTACTTGACAATAAATAAAGTCCAGGTAGTGTAGTTATTTTTGGATCCCACTGAAAATAAAAATATTGGTGTTTATTTAAATATATTTTGTGAATATATAATTAATTACCAATGAAATAATGCACATAATATTAGTAAAATACTAACCAATATATCGTTTTTGAATTTATGTATAGTAAAGCAAGTTCACAATACCCAAACATTTTAGGTAATGTAAGATTTATAATTTTAAGATTCCATTATTTCCTAGGGAAGTTTTGTAGTAGGTACGCAATGCTAAGTGTATTATAATCATAATTGTATCTAATTCATGTAGTCTCTATTACACTCTATACAGTTGTTGATCAGTATTGCAGCAATAAAACTGCTTAATTGATCACTTAATAATGTTGGTTCGTCATAGTGTGTGAATGTTAACACTTATACTAGGGGGGTCATCAAATGGCGGCCCGTGGAAAATTTTATATCAGAAATCGAAAAATTAATACTTTCAATATCTATAGGTAGTTTGATCAAATATTATGTTAGCAATGAAAAGTTATTTCAAATTCTTAATGAAACATATATAATATCTGTGGAACATGAAGGTAGAAACCGTATGAAATATGAACTTGGTAGATTTTAAAACTTGTATTTTATAAATTAATTTAAATGAAAAATAAAATATAAAACATTAAAATAAACTAATGGAATATTAATTAAGGTAGGTTATGTTTATTGTAAATTTAATCTACTAAGTAAGTAATCGCATATCTGGATAATATATTATGTGATTTAAGTTGACAAATTTAACATGAAAATTATTAATATGTTTTAATATTTATAAAATAATACACTTTTGATATATCATGGGTAATTCCAATTAATGCACTCCCAGCATCTGTAATGAGATTAATTTAAGTAGGTTATTTAAAAGATTGACAATTTTTCGAATTTTAGCCATACTGAAAATGAAAATATAGTGAAAACCCAAGGTAGGTAGGTACTACCTACTATATTCACATAAACTTAATTATTATTATATTAGGTACATAAATGTTCTTACCTACTACAGACTGTTCCCATTTATTTATTTTGCATAAACAAAATACATATAATGTATACGAGACAATAATAATTAATAGGCATGAGATGGTATCTAAATTAGAAGTCTTTTTAAATAGTCCGATCCTACATAATTCTACGGTCCATCCAAGACAAAACACAGGAAGTATCATTACTAAAATATGCAATCTAACATATGTATCTTAATGCATAAGAAAAAAAAATGTACTAACTTTATGAAACGCTGCTCGACAATAGTGTCGTGCTTGTGGCACATGAAATTCTTCGTCTATATAATACTCGTCGGGGCCGAACAATGGTTGCACAACGTACCGTAACAAATAAAAGGTGACGGTAGACAGTACGACGGCGGGTAGGATCGAGGCATTCAATCCACAGATCGTTTCGGAGTACTGTGCAAGTGGTTTCTGTCTACCACGGCGAGCCTCCTTTGTCGCTACCGGAGCAGCCATCAGATTTATGCACAGATCCTACAAACTGAGTAATATACAATCATCGATCATAATCGACAGCCCACGTACGTAGAGACCAACTGTTATTCGCGTTGTTATGATTGGGCACTCAATATTATAAGAATATTAAATACTATGTAATATAAATTATTTTATAACGAAGATGCGAACATACAATTTCAAATGTCGGACGTGTGACAACGAGACAACGAATGATAAACAACGTTATCGAGGTTGATAACGCGCTGATAATACCACAGAATAATATTCTGTGATAATACTTTGATCAGTGTCAAGCACGGGGCTACGAGCGTCTAACGCACAGATATAAAAATATGTAAAATCGTATTTTATATCTATGGCCTCACGCCAGGGGCGCTCTTCGGGGCTCACGAAGTCACGAGTCACGACTGGATTTATTAAGACCTCATTTATTAAGCATAAGTCCTGATAATAATGAAAAAAAAATTAATTGTATTAAATTTGAATTCAATGTTATAATATCATTGTTTATAAAAACTATTCTGAGCGGAGACGGTATGTCAGTCTAGGTATAAGACATATTATATACTTATCTATGGTATTAAAAAAAATTGACCTAAAAATTAAAATAGGTACCTACCTATAATAAATTCTAAATTAATCATAGTACAATATCCATTAGGTACTTACAATGCGTTATACATCAACAACAAACTCCGATACTATCATAATCCATAGATATAATATAATAGTGTACTTTAGAAGTTTCAAGTACCCATGAATAATATTGTACAATCACAACAAAATAACTAAAATAGTTATCCTAGGTTTTATTTTAATATGTAATTTCGTCCAAATTTGAACTTAAAATTAGTATAAAAATAAACTGTGATTGTGTATTCATTAGATTTTCTGGTAACAGAATTAACTATTTACGTGGAATCTTGGTTTTAATTTTTAATCGTTAGATATAAAAGTTGAACATTTTAAACATTTTTAACTACAAAATAATTATTCAATTTTAAATTTGATAATTTTTGTCAAAATTTAATCTTTAAATGCTTATAAAAAAATTGTGTCTATGTATTTTTAATATTTTTCAACTGCTATTGTAACAATATATCATAAAAAAAATTGAAAACTGTAAATGTCCGTAACAGCTCAAGAAGAGTCAAAATAGAAATTTTTTGTTAGTGTGTTCAGTTATGTTAATCATAGATTTTAGTTGAAAATGTTTTGTTTAAAATTTGAACTAATATAGTCATGATTAGAATTTAAATATTTTAAATATTATTTTATTTTACCCTTTAAAAATATTGGGAATTGAGACAATATCAAATAGGCACCTATTGATTAGATTTAATAATTAAATTATAACCGGTCAATATTTCATAATCACCACAGTTACAGGACCCTGTAAATAATAAAATAGACTGTTAACTCATGATAATATTTTAAATGAAATAGTTGAATTATGGGTTTAGTCACAGAACATAATAGCCTCTGCATTATTGCTTAATTTCATACTACTATTAAAAATAAAAGAATTTTGATTAATAAGATTATAACTATTTGTTATTATACTATGAAAATTAAGAGGATGTCCAAATAACAAACCACCTACCGGCTTCCAGATATATATTAATTTATATAAGTTATGGTCATAACTAAGAAACAACATTTTCACCACATAAAAAGGTGAACTTTTGCTGTGCAATATCGTTTTTAATTTTTTGATATCTCTTATACAAACATAGTTTTTATTATTTCAAAATCCATTATTGTTTGAGTTTTTAAAGCTTTAATAACTTTTTTGAAGTTTTGATATCGAAAAAAAAACAATTTTGCACAGCCATAGTTTTCTTTTTTAAATGGTGAACAGGTACCGTAGTTGTTACTGTAGCCTTCTCGGTTCTTTCCCCGGGCCAAAACAGTTTTACAATTGTAAGACGGAAACAACACATGCGGGTAAGTGTAGCAAACTCTTAATAATAATTTTAAAATCTAAGATGAAATAAACAATATTTCATGACATACAATTGATTTTTATTCAATGTTACAAAAAAAAAATTATGAATTTCAAATTTCAATTGAAAATATTTACATTACAAAACAGTTGTTGACTTATAGTTTATAAATAGAGTACTATTGTAAATTACCTAAGTAAAAAATTATACTAGTAAATAACTAAACTTTACATAAAAATAAAGTGTATTTTATTATTACTATTATTAGACTTTTAAATTTGTCATACATTTTTTATATCATTTATAATTAGTAATCATTAATTGATCACTAAGATCGAACAATGTTTTTGGAACAAATGCTTATAACTCAATAGAGAATATTTACATTAATAGATTACTAAATATCATACTAACATATTATGATACTATTTATACCGAAAATTATACATAAATACATAAGTATCCCAGATCAGAAATGAGCTGCATGTAATAATATGAACAAATTTAATTAAAGTCCTACCAAAAAGTGTGAGGTTTAGGGTACTTGGAAAAATGTATGTACCTCTGTTATTCAATTTATAACTTAATTATAATTTAAAGATGTTGAAGCATACAAAAAATACATTTAATACTAACATACTACTCACAAATTAAAAAAAAAATCAACAACGGTAAAATTTAAATATTTTAGACATTTTTTCTTAATTACAGATCTAGTAATATATAATAATAAAAAATTTTATTAGAATGTTGAAAACTATGAATAGAAACTTCAATAAATACATGATAATTGCCAATAGGAACAAATAAGAAGTTAGTTTAACATGATAGAACTGCTAGATAACAATCCTTTATCCAAAACAAACAAACAAAAAATGGAATAAAAAAATAATAAAAGAAAGATAAAAGTGTCATCAATGGTTGGCTTCTTCATTCAAATTGTTAATGTTTTCTTTTTACACAGCTCATATTCTTATTGTTCCTGCTGGTACAGATTGTGTATAAATAATTAAAATTAAAAAAAAAAAGTTAAACATGATAAAAAGTACAAGCTTGTATTTTTTTTAGGAATCATTGAGTTATATACACGGCCAACATGAAATAATCTGTTTGAAATTCATATGCTATTATTCTTCATTTGTGTATCTTTTGTCATTCAACTCACAACCGTTATCAAGGGCATAAATTAAACACTCTGTGTGTCTGCCCATTCTTGCATAGAAAGTGGTATCTTCATGCCATGGACAATCGTTTTCATGGGCATATATCATGCAGCTTAAATGCCCTTTTATTGCAGCGAAGCAGGTTACTAGGTCATTCCATGGACATCCATGTTCATGGGAATATATTAGGCATTCAAGATGACCATTCAATGCAACCCAGTAGCTTACATGTTCATTCCACGGACACCCATTTTCATGGAGGTACCTTAAACAATCAATATGACCATTTTCTGCAGCATATGAACATGTAAATTCGTCCCACATTACCTCCTTGGCATGTAAGTATTTTAAACAGTCTAAACGACCATTTTTTGCAGAACAGTTCATTGCATCTTTGTTAACTGGACATCCATTTTCAACTGCATACTTTAAACAATGCAAATCACCATTACATGCAGCATACACACATGTTTCTACATCCCATTCACATCCATTTTCTCTCAAGTATTCCAAACAATCGAATTGTCCACTGCATGCTGCCGCTGCACATGCTGTATCATTCCATAAATATCCTAAACGATGAGCAAATGATAAACAGTCAAGATGGCCATAGAATGCTGCTTCCGCACATAATTCAGTATTTGATGGATTTATACGGTTTTCCATTGTGACATTCATTAGTTCTATACAACAATTTTGCACATCAACTCTAACAACGTTTCTAGGAACAGTGTCATACCATTCTTTCGCATCTTCGTCACAAGCCATAAAGGCCAGCTTGATTAGATCAAACATTGTATATTTTGTTTAATCCAACAACGGCCAAATTAGCTATTTTTTTCTTCTTAAAATACTCTTACGTTCCTGAGTTTGCCTAAAATAAAAGTAATCAATAATTAATATAAAAAAATTTGTATAAATTATAAACTAAGTATGATTTAAGTGTACCTCAATCTCATGGATGCAATGATCTTAATGAAATGAATGGTTCACAATTTATGTATAATCTGTAAATAAATACATATTACTAATAACACAATGACAATTATATGCGGTAAAAAATTCAAAAATGTTTATCTCAATACCAATGATATATAATATATTACATATGAGCACTTTGTTAATAAACAAATTCATATTTTAGTGGCGGTCACTAAGGAACAACTATTATATCGCCTATAATTATATTATTGAATTGGCAACATACTTGATTTATTATTTACATTTATTTCTGATTGGAATTAAAGTATATATTATGTTATGGGTAAAGTGGACTATTGAGCAATGTATCCATTCTGATAACTACCCAATTTCAATAGGCAATGTAAGAACAATTATTATACATTGCCTAAATTATATATAAATGAATTTTTTTTTTTTTATTTTAATTTTCCGAACGAGCGCAGCCTATAAACTTCATTAGGTATAAATTTAAAACCAAATTCTGACTTCAATATATTTTTCAGCATGTTCAACTACATACACTGAGAAAACAAGATCCAAAAAAAAAGGTGTCTTGTAGTACAGAAAAGTTTCACTTCAGCTTATAGATTTAACTAAAATTAACTTTTGTTTCCAGTACAGATAGAATTCTACACTCATAACACTATTTTAGAATGAACAGTTTATTGGAATTAAAAACATTAGATTTTACTCATCTTAGATAACATAGATCTTATGATTTTCCTGTGATTTATAATAAAAAATACATTTTGCATTATTTAGATCCACATTTTTTCAATCAAATGTCTACAGTGCATACAAAAAATATTTATTCTAGTTTAATTAATATAACATAAAATATAGTGTATAAGTAGCTATTGTGTGATCGCATTAAGCAAATCTTACGGAAATAAAATTTCACAAGCATTTTAATCAAAATTTCAAACTACATACTGAAAAAACATAAATGTTTTCAAATAATATATTAATTAATTTAAATAAATATCAAAAAGATTACTAAGCCTCACTGAGAAAAACACATAATAGTTAACATTAAAAGTTTTTGAAAATAAATAGTAAGTTAAATAACAGCACACAGTTGTTTAATTCTTATGTAAATCCTAAGTTCAATTGATTGTCTTTATATTACTTAAGAGGGTGACACACCCGTAGTGTTGAGACTTTTCACGAAGGTATACATATACAATTAAACTTGGTTTCAGCAGAACCAATTTAGCGCTGTTAGCTAAACCTATTATCAAACTTACAGATAAGATTATTATCCAGGGTAAATCGTAGGGTTTTATTGATATTATATTTTTGAAGCAAATAATGAGTATTTTAAAATTGTAATATTTTTATTGTTATAATTCAAAAACTATGAGGCGTCTTAGATTTTTACCTTTAAATTTTGATAGTAGGTCATTTCACTCTAATATTATAGCTAACAACATAAAATTGGTTACTAAACATAAATTTGGTATGTACCTAATACTTTTGTAAGACGGATTAATACATGTAGGTGTGGCATCCCGTTTTAATACAAAGGCTAATTAAATATACTAATATACTCATTTTGTACTTAAAATTATGTTTATTGCTTATTTGTTACAATTTTGGTGTGATAATTATAGAAATAGCCGTAGAGTCATTAGCCTTATTTCTATTAACTAAAAGATATAATTTGTGTTAAAAAATACAAAATTAACTTAGCTATAGGGTCGATGTGAATTATTTGTGTAATTTTATTTAAAATAAAAATGAATACTAGTTATTAATTTTGGATTGTATGTCATAATATTTACCTCTTATGTGATTATTTGTCGAACGCAAGGAGTACAGTATGCATACATTGGTAATTACATGGATAGTAATAATGGATAAACACGTTATCTATCCATGATAAATTACAAACATTAGGTATCCAACTATTGATGTGTGTCGATATAATAATTATATTATAATATTAAAAATCGTTTGTATAACTGTGTACGAGCCTACGTAAGTAGGTGGTAAATAGTAATAAGTAATAACTGTTCACTAATAAGCGACGATAATATGCGTATTGCGTCGTGCGGATTTTCCGTTTTGATGCGTTTTTTTTATCCCGAGTCCCGAGTGACCAGGACGCTAACTCATAATATTTTTTGGCTTATCAGCCACCATGACTCGGTGAACTATTATCATATTCGTTTGACGGTTTGTTGCGTTCACTTTCATCTATTGATAACACATCGTTATATCTAAGCGTTTACTACCGTTGCGGCGTCGTTGGCAACAGCGCGGCGCGCGGTTCAAAAGTGTTTGTGTAACGAAAAACGACGATTCGAATCGAAATACAGTTTGTATATTAAGACAAGCCAAGATATAACCGAACTCGGTCGGTCTCTATCGCCAGACGTCGACGATGCTCAGTGTTGTCCCCCGTTGTGGCGCGTGTCGGCCATGTCAATTTTCAGTTAAAAAAAGTGCTGTTAACGAGCGAACGAGTATTGTTGCACGGACCCCGTTCTTTATTAATCCGAGTCCATGTCAGTTTTTCAAGAAACATGAAGATTATTTTTTCATCGAACGAACATTGGTAAAACATGAATTTTCGATGCTAAAACGTTCAACATGTTATGTATTATGTTCATCTTTTACTTTATCGTTTTAGAATACCTACCTACTGTGCCGCATACAACCCAGTCCGTTACATAGGTGTAAAATCAAGTAAGTATTCAAATTATAATACATTTTACTATGATCAAACTTTATATAGGTTTGGTGTATGTTTGTATACATTTCTGACAGGAACAAAAACTGCAGTTTTTGTTTTTAGCATAATTATGTAGTCACCCTAACTATTTTGGAAAAAAATTTGGAAGAGTAGTTTTCTAAAATCTTTAAAATACACAATTAATATTAAAAACATTTTTTTTTTAACTTCTGAGATATATTTTGGCGAAAAATATTTCAAGATTTAAGATATCTTACTTGTTAGGTATTAAGCAAGTGTTATCGATTGTTGTCTGGTAATTAAACAAACACAACACAATTGATTTGAACGATTAATACTTTATTAAAAAAATAATACAGTTTAACTAATGTGAAATAGTGACATTAACATTTAACAAAATAACAGACTAATTAAGACAGGCGTACTGTGTCCTACGCTGCCCGTTGGTTACTAAGGCACATACATTCATAGTGTACCTACTTACATTATGTGGGGGAGATCAGTCAGAATGACCACCCTCCACATAATTTATAACACAAGCTTTAAGACCATTGATTGAGCATGAGACGTCTAATGTTCTAATGCTCCTACATCATCCTTATAGATCTTTGATGTGTATTTAAACCTAAGTATATGATGTAGATGTTTAGAATTGGTATAATTGAAATACTTTTTTGGATCTACAACTGGTTGAATGAGACATTGATGATGTCTACATAGCTGCAAAACTTACATCTAAGAGACGCTTAGTACCTAGATACTATTAACACATTTTAAGAATCAATAATATTTATTTGATATAAAATTACAAAATTTATATAATCATACATTAACAATAATTATAAAAGTACCTACATTTTGTAAGTAAATTTAAAAATAATCATAATAACATAACAATAGTTTAATGTAAAAATCATTTCATTAGTGGCTGGAGGAGTAGGGAAGGAGGGAGGACTGGAATAAAATAATTTATGGCTATGCTAATATTATTATTATTATTAACTTGTCTCAATTCCTTCAGTCTAAACTTTAGATTTAGATTTATAGGTAGATATTAAAGTTTTAATTATTTAAAATTATGTGCGTATTTTATTAGAACAAGATATTTGAAATCTGATGAGATAGGTGTGTGCAGAATGATACTCAGGCCAATGATAATATATTTATTTTTTTCATAGTACATACATTGTTTTATATTGTCTTAAAACATTTAGTATAAAATATTACAAATGTATATTTAATTACATAAATAATTTATTAATGTTGATACCATCTCACTGTAAGAAATGTTAGTGGTTATGTTTTATTTAATAGTAACTTTTAGTGTACAAAATAAAAATGTAAGTATATAAACAATTTTTTGTTTAAACTTCTGAGATATTTTTTTGTGAAAAATATTTCAAGATTTAAGAAATTTTACTTGTTAGATATTCAGCAAGCTTTAAGACATTGGTTGAGCGTATTGATAACACATTGTTATATTTAAGCCTTTACTACCGTTTCTCGCGGTTCAAAAGTGTTTTTATAATGAAAAACGATTCGAATCGAAATACAGTTTGTGTATATTGTAATATAACCAAACTCGGTCGGTCTCTATTGCTAGACGTTGACACTGCTCAGTGTTGTCACCTGTTGTAGTGCAAGTCGGTCATGTCGATTTTCAGTTAAAAAAAGTGCTGTTAACGAACAAACAAATCTTGTTGCACGGATATTTATTAGTTAGGCTGGGTGTTCGCAGGTGACATTGCGGCCGTGTAGTACTCAGTATACAGTTTTACATGGCAGTTTATTTTTCATTGTATTGGTGTGTGCCCAAAACAGCCTAAGTTAACAAAACATGATTTTATTTAATATAGAATATTCTAAAAGTTTATGTAATAAAAGCAACAAGATCACAAATAAAACAGAAGCTTTTAATTTCGAGGAGAGTACAATGTTTCTATGAATTACCAAACAGTATTAAATTAATAATAACATCTACAATTTAAGCACACAAAACATTATTACTATGGTTGTGTTGGGTTAAAATAACATTAAGTTACTGATATAGGTATTCCTAATAATTTTTCTATTATGCGATACAATTTGATTTTTCATTATGTATTAAAAATGTATAGATTAATGATAGTATATA